TTTTTATTTAAAGGTTTTATCTATTTACTTAGAGACAGAGAGAGAGTGAGCGTGTGCTCAAGCAGGGTGAGGGACAGAGGGAGAGCATCTCGAGCAGACTCCACGCCCAGTGCCCCATGCCCCGTGCCCCTGAGCCTGACGTGGGCCTGAGCCAAAATCAAGAGCTTGACAGACTGAGCCACTCAGGCACCCCGATCTCAGAATACTCTTAAAAAATCATTGCCCCTCTACCCCCAAGAACTTTTTTTTTGTGAGATATCTACCTTACCATATTTGAAATTATAACAGATATTTTATAAAAATATTTATACATTTAAGATAATAATAAACTGCTAACATAAATGTTTTGTGAAAAACAGCTATATATTTCAAAACATAGAAAATTGATATTGTTTTACATTTTTGCACATTGCTTTAGCATCTGGCTTTAGAAGATATGGCAGCTAGATTTTCATATCAGCTTCTGCATTCGGTATATTGATATTTTTTGGGGGGGTGATCTATATAAAGGAAATCTGGCCTCAGGTATGTAGTTGGGAAAAGAGGGTGTATTTTAATATTTCAGGCTTCTTTTTTTGATCCTTGTGATATTGTAATATTGTAATATAATAAGAAACATATATTTAGTCTTGGGGCACCTGAGTGGCGTAGTCAGTTGAGCATCCGACTCTTGGTTTCAGCTCAGGTCATGATCTCATCAGGGTCCTGGGATCAAGCCCCACGTCCAGCTCTGCACTCAGTGCAGAGTCTGCTTGAGATTCTCTCTCCCTTTCCCTCTACCCCTCGCACTCATGCTAATGCGCGCACGCTCACGCGCTCTCTCTCTCAAATAAATAAATCTTAAAAAAAAAAGAAAGGGTTGGAACTTTCAACCCTAAACTCCCCCCTGCCCTGCCACTGTCCACCAGAGAGTCAGGAGATTGATCTAGTCACCAATGGCCAGTGATTTAATCAATCGTGCCTATGTAATGGGACCTTCAGAAAGCCCCTAAACAGCAGGAATCAGAGAGCTTCCAGGTTGGTGAACACATCTACATGCCAGGAGGGTCACATACCCCAAACTCCACACAGGGACAGAAATTCCTATGCTCAGTACCCTTCCAGACCTTGCCCTATGTACTTCTTCATCTGGTGGTTCATTTCTATCCTTTATAATATCTTTTATAATAAACCAGTAAAGTAATTCCCTGAGTTCTTTGAGCCTGAGGAGGGGGTCATAGGAACCCCCAATTTGTAGGCAAGAAGGCAGAAGTGTGGGCATCCTAAGGACCCACTACTTGAGGTTGGTATCTGAAGTAAGCAAGGGAGGTCTTGTGGGACTGAGCCTCTAACCTATGGGGTCTACACTAACTCTAGTGTCAGAATTGATTTGTAGGACACCCACTTGGTATCTACAGAGAGTTGCTTCATGTGGAAAACCCACACATACGGTGTCAGAAATGGTTGTGAATAGATAAAGCTTTTCTCTAATACTATATCAAACTCAACAAATGGTAGTTTCTTAAAGGTTAGCTGGAATGTAAAATTGGTCTATCTTTTTTTTTTTTTAAAGATTTTATTTATTTATTTGAGAGAGAGAGAATGAGAGACAGAGAGCATGAGAGGGAGGAGGGTCAGAGGGAGAAGCAGGCTCCCCGCCGAGCAGGGAGCCCGATGCGGGACTCGATCCCGGGACTCCAGGATCATGACCTGAGCCGAAGGCAGTCGCTTAACCAACTGAGCCACCCAGGCGCCCTAAAATTGGTCTATCTTGGGGCACCTGGGAGGCTCAGTCGATTAAGCGTCTGCCTTCTGCTCAGGTCATGATCCCAGGGATCTAGCCCCGTGTTGGGCTCCCTGATCAGCAGGGAGTCTGCTTCTCCCTCTCCTTCTGCCCCTCCTCCCGCTCATGCTTGCGCTCTCTCACTCTCTCAAATTAAAAAAAAAAAAGGATTGGTCTGTCTTGCATTTTGAATGGATCTTTTGCCTATGCATTATTCATAATGTCATGCATTGGTCATTTGGAAAATGCTGGCTCATTGCATTATGCAGATCTTCCAAATATTGGTGTTTCATTATATAACAAAAATTCATGTTTATTAATCTCACTAATCAGAAAAGTTTGTAAGCATTGAGAAGCTGTAAAGCTCATTGTTGGCGAATAGAAGTTTTCAAAAGTTCTGATTTTCACTAAAAAACCCTTGTATAATTGGCGGTAACTTTCGTTTTCCTTGAAAACAGGTTCACCTTATTTTTGAGAAAATATTTACTAAATTCTGAAGTTTGAATAACCAGTCTGTCATTTGGCCTTGCAAGTAAAAATGGTGTTGTGTAAAAAAGCAGTTGGTTCAACTCACAACTCAGCTGCACAAATGCTTTTCCTTGGAGTGACAGCCAGTACTCCGATGTGCAGTGAAAGTACTTTTTGCCTACTTCCCATACTGTTACATAGAGTATTTTAAAATTTCTTTAAAGAATAGTAAGTTGTGGGGCACCTGGGTGGTGCAGTTGGTTAAGCGTCTGACTCTTGGTTTCGGCTCAGGTCATGAGATCGAGCCCTGTGTTGGGCTCCACACTCAGCTTGGAATCTGTTCTCACACTCCCTCTGCGCCTCCCACTGTGCATGCGTGCCTGCGCACGCCCGCGTTCTCTCTCAAATAAATAAATAAATCTTAAAAAAGAATATTGAGTTGTTTTGGCAGACTGTTAATTTACTTGCAAATCAGCTAATCCCTCAGAGACTGGAATGGGTCTAGAATAGCTTTTACTTTGGTCTAGTTCAGTTCTGTTTCTAAAGCATGCCCTTTCTGGGATTTTCTCCTGAATGCAGCAGATGTTTATTGAGTTTTCTGTCTTCAGGCTGGTTAGAACTCATCTGTCATTCCAGCCTGTGTGAGCTCCACTAATTTTTCAGTTTATAGCTCTCTAATATTTACTCTTTGCCTGGCCTTGTAGAGTCTCATTCTGTGTATGCACAACTCAGAATTCAGCCAGAGACTCAAAGGAATCCCTGTGTAGGTTATTGAAGCTCTTTCTCTGTGTAGCTCCCTCATCTCTGGTACTCTGCATCCATGAAATCCAGCTAACTCACCTCCCTGAACTCTGATCTGTGCTCAGTAGGGCTACCACGTTCTTCTTGGGTTCCCTCGTCCATGCTGTGGTCTAAAAGTGCCTCTGTGCCAAAAGCCAGGATAATCATAGGGTTCCCATCATTTCAGTGATCAGTCTTTCTCTACCTGTTGTCCTGTATTGGAAAACAGTTATATATTTTTGTCCAGTTTTTTAGTTGTTGGTTGGAAGAGCTAGTCTGGTACCATTTATTTCATTTTTTAAAAAAAGATTTTATTTATTTATTTGACAGAGAGACAACGAGAGAAGGAATATAAGCAGGGGGAGTGGGAGAGGGAGAAGCAGGCCCCCTGCCGAGCAGGGAGCCCGATGTGGGGCTCGATCCCAGGACCCTGGGATCATGACCTGAGCCGAAGGCAGACGCTTGACGACTGAGCCACCCAGGCGCCCCTGTACCATTTATTTCAGCATGGGCAAAATTAGAGGCCAGAGAACCAGTCTTCACTGCTGTTAGTTTTTCTGATGGTTACCTTTATTGAGAGAGAGAAAGAGAGAGAGCACATGTACAAGAGTGGGGAGGAGGGGCAGAGGGAGAGGGAAACCTAAGCAGACTCTGTGCTGAGTGAGGAGCCCCACGCAGGGCCTGATCCCAAGACCCCGAGATCATGACCCAAGCCCCGAGCCGAAACCAAGAGCCTGATGCTTAACCGGCTGCGCTATCCAGGCACTCCCTGATGGTTACCTTTAAATGATGGCTTTTTAAACACAAACTAAAAGCCTGATTGATATTCTGGTGTTTTTTTGTTTTTTGGTTTTTTTAGATATTATTATTTGGGGGGTGGGGGCAGAGGGAGAAGGAAAAGGGGAAAGAATCTTAGTGTGGAGCCTGATGTAGGGCTCCATCTCACAACCCTGAGATCACGACCTGAGCCAAAGTCAAGACTCAGATGCTTAACTAACTGAGCCACCCAGGCGCCCCTTTTTTTAGATATTATTTTCATAATTGCTAATAAAGTCAAGAGTTTTAAAATTCAAAAGGTGTAAAAAGAAGATTCAGTATGAGGTCTGCCTCCCACATGTGGCCCCCACTCCTCAGTTCTCTCACAAGAGGCAACCAGTATTATATAAACATCTTTTTTTTTTTTTTAAGATTTTATTTATTTATTTGACAGAGAGAGACACAGCGAAAGAGGGAACACAAGAAGAGGGAGTGGGAGAGGGAGAAGCAGGTTTCCCGCAGAGCAGGGAGCCCGATGCGGGGCCTGATCCCAGGACCCTGGGATCATGACCAGAGCCAAAGGCAGACACTCAGTGACTGAGCCACTCAGGTGCCCCTATAAACATCTTTTGTCTAGAAGTCCAATGCGCTATCCATTGCGCCACAGAGCCAGGCTATAAACATCTTTTTAAGGCTGCATAATACTCTAAGGATTTACTGTACTTATCTAATTCTCTATTAATGGACACTATAGTCAAATTAATGCACTGTTCTGAATAATGAGTATATATGTGATGCCTTTATTTTGGATGTAGTAAGTATATCCTTGTTGGTAAGCATGTATACCACTTTTTTTTTTTTTAATTTATTTATTTGACAGAGTGACACAGCAAGAGAGGGAACACAAGCAGGGGGAGTGGGAGAGGGAGAAGCAGGCCTCCTGCCGAGCAGGGAGCCTGGTGCGGGGCTGGATCCCAGGACCCTGGGATCATGACCTGAGCCGAAGGCAGCCGCTTAACAACTGAGCAACCCATGCACCCCGCATGTATCCCACTTTTATGATTTTATGATTTGTCTATAGTGATAAAACTTAAACTGGATTTTCAAATGATAAGCTCCAAAAAGCCTCTTTAATAATGTTATCTGTAGTTTATTCCAAACACCGAACTGTAAAAATATGTCAGATTTTGGTCATGATTTGAATGTATATCTCATTCCGTTTTTACTCTTTCAGGTCATAATGCAACAAGGAGATACATCCATAAAACCCATCCTCCAAGTCATCGTGAGTACCTTCGAATATTTTATGTCACACATTTTAAAAACTTCTATGTAATTACAAATTACATTTGATGAAGCACACACAGATTCGTCCACTTTAAGAAATTCTCTCCCTCATCCCAAAAAATAGGCCAGTCTTCTTGTAACCCTAAGAGAGGAAGCAGGCCTTTTCCCCCCCGCCAATATTATGCTAGCCAAGGCTTTGCCTTTCTGTTCTTTCCACAATTGATGGATACTGTAGTACTACCCATCATTACCACTGCCTCCTTTTCTTCCTGCCCTGAGGTTTGTCTTGCTCAAATCTGCCTTACGTGGGCCTGCAGTGAACATATCTGCTTAAAATTCTTCATTAACCCTATCATTCATTTACAGGGTTCTCAAATTTTAGTGGGAATTTAAAAAATGCATAGAAGCAGCATCCTGGATCATACCTGCAGATTCTGAGTCATAGGCCTAATGATCTCCCTGTTACTCCCAAACTCACTGCCACTCATCTTAAAGCTCTGTTTATGTACTTTACTTCCTTTGGAGAACTGCTTCTGATTTCCTTCAAGTTGTGATAAACGTCTTGGCTGTGTCCCCATGTCATGTGCGTAACTCTCTATGTCTCTTTGCCTCTGTCTCCACCTCATTTGTAAGCCCCTTCAGGGCAAGGATATTTTTTTTCCATTTTGTATTTTTAGTGTGTTTTCTATGTAGCTCCTTATATATATTAGGTGCCTTGTCGTATCTTTTTTAAAATTAATTTTTAATCAAATTTGAGTTGAGAGAGAACAGAAGAGAATTGAAACTCATTTTATTCTCAACTATGTTGTGTTTAATAATGTTAATACAGAGACGGTGGTTGGAAAATCATCAAATCCAATTTTCTTTTGCTTAGATTTAGGTGTCAAGAGAATGGGTGAGCAGTTCAGTGTTTGTTGAACTAATGGCAAACCCACTCTCCTGCCACTTAAGTTTACTTATCCCTGGGACTGGGAAGACAACCCGACTAATGAATCAAGTTTTCTATCCTAGAACATCCGTCCCATTATTACAGGGAATAGTCCACCCCGTTATCGACTGCTTATGAGTGATGGATTGAACACTCTATCCTGTAAGTATGGTGTATAAATCTAGGAATTTGCATTTAAATAATAAAAGAACACCCAGCACTTTGATTGCAGTAATTTGGGGCATTTCGGAAATGTACATTTGCTTGGCCGTGCACTTCATTCACACAGAATTATGGCTGGCAGAGAGCATTCTTTTTTTTTTTTTTTTGAAGATTTTATTTATTTATTTATTTGACAGAGACAGAGACAGCGAGAGCAGGAACATAAGCGGGGGAGTGGGAGAGGGAGAAGCAGGCTTCCCGCTGAGCAGGGAGCCGGATGTGGGACTTGATCCCCGGACTCTGGGATCATGACCTGCGCCGAAGGCTGCCGCTTAACGACTGAGCCACCCAGGCGCCCGGCAGAGAGCATTCTAACAATAGACTAGATCTAGTGGAAAGCTGCCACTTGGCTTAATTAATTTTCTCTAACTGGTGCTCTGTTTTCTTTGATTAATTTCCCTCAGGATGGTATTGACATTTAGTGAATATAATGGGTTAGCTGTCCTATACTTGCCTTTTGGGGGATTTATTTCTGTGTTGTAAACTTTATAAGGGAGAAAGAGAATTTGCAGAATATTGCTTGCTATCTCTAGTCGCAAGGTGAAGAAGATAGAAAAGACTTTTTAGTCTTTGTCATGAAACCTGAATGATGGAAAAATTTATTTTGGGCACTTTAAGAAATACATTTCAAAGTACCAGCAGATGTTTAACGCAGTAAATTATATTGTTTTTCACTATGCAGAATCTGAGTCGTTTTAATTTCAGGAACATATTCAAGGCATTGTTTTCCTTTGCTAGTCCAGGTGTGATCAGCTTTCAGATTGTCATGACTGAAATGTTGTGGGGACTAAAGTAATCTCTGTGCTTTTCAGCTTTCATGTTGGCAACACAGTTGAACCCTCTGGTTGAGGAGGAACGATTGTCTAGCAATTGTATTTGCCAGATTAACCGATTCATTGTTAACACTCTGAAAGATGGAAGGTATGTGGTGTTTTTCTTTGTTTTGGGGGGTTTTCTTTGGTTTTATTGTGTTGTAGAATGGGGACTAATTTTTCAACAGAGAAGTCCATTGGATGCCAAAATTCATGTAGGAATCAAAGACGATAATGAGCTTTCAGCTAAGAATTTACATGAGATTTGAACTCGGGTGACTAAAACATGGCACCAAAGGAAGAGAAATATGGAAACAGATTGGAAATTTCAAAGCAGGAGATTAAAGCAGAATGCAGAACTTTTATTTCTAATTTCTTCAGAAGCACTGTTTTTAAGATTCTCTTTTGAAGTATGTGTTAATGAAAAGGGGTTACTTATAAGAGCAAAACTGATGTAATTAATTATGTAAGGCTGCCCCTTTTTTGCCATCTTGAATGTTTCATGGTAAACTTTATTCAGCCTATATAGAGTATGCTGAGTACTGACAGATGCTACACGCTCGAGGTGCAGTGGTGAGCAGCACTGTTATTTCTGGGTAACTGTTGCTAAAATAGGACATTTTTTGTTGGGGAGAGGCTTTTAAGCTTTTTATTTCCAATCACAGAACACATGGGAAACAAATGTAGCGAGAATTCCCCTCTTAAGAAGGGTATGTCAGTGTATGTTACAGTATTATCTGTAGTTTTGCTTTATATTTGTTTGCTGTATTGTTGTCCTTCTTTTAACTTTCAGCTTCTCTGTTCTTAACCTTGGATGTCTTTTATAAACAGCATATGATTTTAGAAATCAGTTTGAGATTTAGTTGGTGAGTTTATGCTGCTTAATTTATTATTGATTTTTTTTTCTAATTTTTGTGTTTTTACCATGTTTTTGCTTTATTTTTTCTTGCCTTGGATTGATTTTTTCCTTAATTTTTTTTTCCTCTACTGGTTTGAAATATATTTGTGCTGTGTTTTTGTTTTGTTTTGCGGATATTCTCACATTTAAAAAACCCCATATGTGAATTAACAGATATTCTAAAATAGGTCTGTATTTTTACAATCCTCTCAAATAAAGCAAAGGTCTCAAAATGGTCAATGTTCAGTGTTTTAGCTCAACTTTGTTTTTATTTTCTTGAATTAGTATATTCTCTATATAGACAGCAATTACTTAGACTTGCCCATAGAGTCTCCCTTTGTCTCCTTTATCATACTCCTTTCTTTTTAGTTCAGTTCTCATTTTCCTGAAGAGTATCTTTTAGCAGCTCTTTTTTTTTTTTTTTTTTAGATTTTATTTATTTATTTGACAGAGAGAGACACAGTGAGAGAGGGAACACAAGCGAGGGAATGGGAGAGGGAGAGGCAGGCTCCCAGCTGAGCAGGGAGCCCGATGCGGGGCTTGATCCCAGCACCCTGGGATCACGACCTGAGCCGAAGGCAGACGCTTAACCGACTGAGCCACCCAGGCGCCCCTCTTTTAGCAGCTCTTATACGGAAGGTTTGTGAATGATAAAAATCTGTCATCTAAAAATGTCTGTTTCATTCTCAGTTAAATGAGTTTAACTAGGTGTAGAATTCTAGGTTGACAGTTCTCTATATCGTGTAGTAGGATCTTCACCCTGACAGAATTTTGTGTCCTTGTCATTGTGTTTTGTAAAACAACTTTTATTATACAAGTAATATATACATAAATTATAAAACTCAAATGAAGAAGGGTTTTAGGGTTGTGAGTTCTAGCCCCACATTGGGTGTGGAGCTTACTTAAAAAAACAACAACAACAAAGCTCACATACACAAAAATAACTGTAATTTGACTGCCTACAAATAACTATTCTTAAAAATCTTGTTGTTATCCTTCCAGAATTTTTCTATAAATGTAAGTACTTAACAAATTTGTATTTTCCTTTAAAAAATTGATAATATGGTTTTATAATACTCTTTTTTTTAATAGTGGTCATTTTTACATGTCCCTAGATAAACTTCTATGTCATATATATATATAAAATTTGGTGGGGGGGGTGCGGCAGGCAGAGTAGGCAGAGGAAGAAGCAGGCTCCCTGCTGAGCAAGGAACCCGATACGGGACTCGATCCCGGAACCCTGGGATTATGACCTGAGCCAAAGGCAGATGGTTAACTGACTGAGCCACCCAGGCGTCCCCCCTCTATGTCATATATTACTTAGTATGTCATTGTATAGATTTACCATAATATAGTTAACATTTAATATTATATAGCATTTCACTATTTAAAATTTTTCACCAGTGCTTCTTAGAATATATTTGTACCTCTTTGTGTATTCAAATTTTTAGGGAATATGAGTATTTTAATAAAAATGACACGCAGAATCATCGATTCAAGCAGTGCAATAAAAGGTACAAAAAAGGAAAAAATTGTCTAAAATTCATACAACCCAGAAATAACCATATTATGATTTAGTGAGCATCATTCCCGATATCTCACAGTGCGTATTTATCAATAATTGGTGGATAAATAGAAATAATTTTGATAGTGGGATGACAATATATATATTGTTACTGCTCTCTTCCTTCCTGAGTAATTCAGTCCACAGCCATTAGGTGGGGCCAAGCAAGATAGATGTTTACAAGGGAGGGGTGGTGGTGGCGGTGGTGATGGCCCGGAACCAGGCCCAAAGTGAGGAAGGTATCTTCGTGGGCTGGACAGGGGGTTGGAGACCAGGTAAGGAGAACACATGGGGAGAGGGTGGCTACAGTCCAGAATGGGTTGTCAGAGCCTGAGTAGGGTGAGGCAAGAGTCTGTATGGCTGTTGGATCCTGAGCAAGGGATGAAGGAATCTGGGGGTGTTGTGGGGATCCGGCACAGCAACAGGTTGTTGGGGGAGAGGAGGGTGCTTGTTTGTAATAGGGTGGTAGTGGTCTTAGAACTGGGTTTGGAATTTGAGCATTTGGAGGATAGTGTCCATGTGTATAGCAGTGGCAGGTGGTGACAGGAGATTGATTACCTATGGGGGAATTGATCTAATAAATATGTTGAAGGCTCTGGGAGCTAGCCAAGGGAGAGGTCTGTGATTCTGGATTATAATTGAAGGTTTCAGAGTAAACTCAAGGTTTTTGATAGATAGATAGATATAGATATAAACATTTAGTTTGGGTTTTTTTTTTTTTTTTAAAGATTTTATTTATTTATTTGACAGAGAGAGACATAGAGCAGGAACACAAGCAGGGGGAGTGGGAGAGGGAGAAGCAGGCTTCTCGCAGAGCTGGGAGCCCGATGGTGGGGCTCGATCCCAGGACCCTGGGATCATGACCTGAGCCGAAGGCAGACGCTTAACGACTGAGCCACCCAGGCGCCCTAGTTTGGGGTTTTAAAATTATATTTTATTGGAGTGCCCAGGTGGCTCAGTCGGTTGAGTGTCTGACTCTTGATCTCAGCTCAGGTCTTGACTCAGGGTTGTGAGTTTGAGCCCTATGTTGGGCTCCATGCTGGGTGTGGAGCCTACTAAATCAATCAGTCAATCAATAGTTCTTTTTTACCTTGTTTTATTATATCTCATTTTAACTCGATTTATTTAAGCTAAATACAAAAATAGTTCTCCCATTTCTCCCACCTCTTACTTCTTCGCCTTTAACAACCACCAGTGTGTTTGTTCTCTGTATCTATGAGCTTGTTATTTATTTCCACATATAAGAGAGATCATAGGGTAATTGCCCTTCTCTGTCTGACTTAGCATAATGCCCTGGAAGTCCATCCATATTTTCACAAATGGCAAGACTCCATTCTTTTTTATGGCTGAATAATATTGTGTGTGTGAGAGAGAATTTCCTTTTTTAAAAGATTTTATTTATTTATTAGAGAGAGAGCATGCCATGAGCAGGGGGGAGGGGCAGAGGGAGAGGGACTCGATCCTAGGACCCAGGATCATGACCTGAGCCGAAGGCAGATGCTTAACCAACTGAGCCACCCAGGTGGCTCTGTGTCACAATTTCTCTATCCATTTATCTATTAGTGGACATTTAGGTTGTTTCCATATGCTGACTCTTGTAAATAGTGCTGCAGTGAACATGGGGGTGCATAGATCTTTTCGAGTTAGTACTTTTGTTTTCTTCGGATGAATACCCAGAAGTGGAATTGCTGGATCTTATGGTAGTTTGATTTTTAATTTTTTGAGGAATCTCCATACTGTTTTCCATAGTGGCCACACCAATTCACATTTCCACCAACAGTGCACAAGGGTTCCCTTTTCTCCATATCCTTGCCAACATGTGTTATTTCTAGTCTTTTGAATAATAACCATTCTAACAGATGTGAAGTGATATCTTGTTGTGGTTTTGATTTGCGAGAGTGATATCTCGTTGTGGTTTTGATTTGCATTTCCCTGATTAATGATGTAAAGTATCTTTTCATGTACCTGTTAGCTAGCTTTATGTCTTCTTTGGAAAAATGTCTGTTCAGATCTGGTTGGTGTATGAGTATACATACATTGTGTGGTGTGTGTGTGTGTGTGTATTCCCTAGATCTCTCTACTGAGAGGGCTTTGGAGCAGCAACACCCCAATAGCTCTGAGCCCCCTTAGCACCAGATCTTGGTTTCTGAATGCCATTTCACACTCAAAAGAACTAGGGCTTCTTGGAGGATGGCTTGTTACAGGCTTGGAAATTACAAGATGAGCTTGGAATATCTTAATGTGTCAGATGGTAAGGAAGTGCTCAAAGGGAGATGGGATCCTGTCAAAAGGACAGAAAAACTGGCTTGCAGAATCTTACACTTGTCAAATCTAAGGCAATTTATAAACCATAATAAAAACGGGAACCTGTTAAATACAATAGGAGTTCATAAGTCCATAGTGAATAAATGAATACATGGGGTTTTTCTTAAGATAGAGTGCCATCTAACAAATGTGGAAGGAATGACGGAATTAGAAAATCGCCCTTTGGTAACCAGCACAGGGTTAGTTTATGCAGGGAACGTCAGTGGGTGCTGTGGCTGCTCTAACAAAGGAACACAAACTTGGTGGTGGTGGTTTTAAAGATTTTATTTATTTGGGGGCGCCTGGGTGGCTCAGTCAAGCGTCTGCCTTCAGCTCAGGTCAT